TTTTGTATATATATTTTATAATTATTTCAGTTAAAGTTTATTTTATTTCAAGTAAAAAAAAAAAGTTTTTAGTTTTAGTTAACAATATTAACTCAGAAATCAAAACACTGATCTGAAAAACTGCAATGAAACATCAAAAAACTGTATTTTTAATCTCCAAAGAACTATATAATTTTTTAACCATGTAAGAACCATAAAAATGTACTGTACTGTAGTTTTGTTTTTTGTTTAAAAAAAAGTTTATAAACTTTTTCCTCTATTTTTAGTTATTTTAGTATTAAATAAATTTAAACTAAAAATGAGAAATGTTGCCTTGTTAACTAGCTGAAATAAAATAATTTGAAGTTAAATATTTTATTTCAGTTTTTAGTGTTAATTAACAACATGAACTCTGTGCTCTATAGAAATCAAAACACTGACCTGAAAAACCTGTAATGAAATATCAAAAACTATAATCTTAAAAGAACTAAATGTAACCAAATTAGGAACCCTAAACATCTCAATTGTTTTTTTTGTTTTTTTTTAAGTTTTAGTTAACTTATAATAACCCTGCTTTAGGCTAAGTTTTATTGCATTTCCTGAACGGTGCAATGGAACAATAGAATTATGAGAAGTTCAGGTCATTTCTGACATGTTTCCGTAATCAGACATTCCAAACGATCTGACCTGTATTCATTTCCTGTCGTATTTTCAACAAAAGCTGAAAGAATGTAGAGAATGTGTGTCTGATTTGTTTTAGATTAGAGCACACAGACACAAGCTCAAACATCGGAAAGCTCGGCTTCACGTGTCTCTCATTCAGGTAACTTCATGTCTACAGATGAAATGAGTTTAGTCCGTTACCTTAACTGTTTGCTTCTTGGCACCTTCATCCTCGTCGGCCTCCTCGTGTTCTCTGACGCCCTGCGTGAGGTTCGTGTAGTTGGCCAGTTTGCTGAGCAGTGAAGACACCATGGGATTGCTGTCCATCTCCTCCTGAAAGGGTAAAGGTCATGTGTTTGATCAAAAACTGCAAACCAGCAAACACAAACGACTCGTTTCAAATCTCTACAATGTCTCGAAGAGTAAAAATAAATGTAGGCACCAAAATCAAAGGACGTAATAACAGCTCTGTCTGTCCGAAATCATGAAATGATACAAAAATAAACTTCATGACCCATGAATTACTTTATTTGTGGCCATAAACATGAAACGAGAATGTGGAAAACAGAGTGGAGAAAAGTCATGATGTCAAATATAGGCTTGAAAAGAACTTGAATGCGATAATAAGTAATCTCACACAACTTATTAAAAGCACATTTCGGTCATATTTCGCCCTAAAATCAAAAGAATGAAAAACGAAATTATATTTTGCATAAAGAATAGCATGCCTTTTTTTTTAGCTATTAATATTTTATATAATATTTTTTAATATAATGACATTGTTTTAGGTGTTATTTTACCAAAATTCTGGTTATTGTAATGATTAAACAAATAAATAAATAAATAAATAAAATAAATGCTTATATTTTGCTTAATAAAAAATTATGACAGTCTTTTTTTTGTTATTAATATTTTTGCATTATTTTAGTTCATTTTCCACCAAAATTAACATTACTGTAATACAAATAATATTATTATTATTATTATTATTATTATTATTTAAATTGTAATGTATACATCAAAGTGGTATTTATCGTACTATTATACTATTACAAATTATTACTGAATCAGTAATTAGTGTTTTAGTAAGTAAATATTAACTAGTATTTTAATTAGTATTAAAAATGAGATAATCTAATAAAACAAAAAATACAAAACTAAACCATCAAGATGGATTACTAAAATGAAAATTTGAGGATAAATGTGCAAAATTGTCATGAAAAAAAAAAAAATGTAAAGAAAATCATCAGTAAATAATCCTGAAATAAACTTAAGCAAAATACAATTTCTTATTTTAAAAATAAGTTTTAATCGTAATATTTTTTTTCATGTTGTTAGTCAAAAATATGCATATTGATAGTGAAAAAACGTTATTATTCAGTAATATTGAAATGAAGTTTAAAGACAGTACCTCAAAAAGTGCCATGTTTTTCCCATCATATAGATTTCCCTTATTATCATCTGTGTTATTGATGAAGGGGCTGCTTTCCCTTGGGTTTCCATCACCTGTATTAGACAGACAGACAGATGGAGAGAGCAACAAAACATGAGAGAGAGAGAGAGAGAAGACATGATTACAGCTGACTGCAGGAGATGTGCCACTAAAATGCTGTTTGCTTGTGAAGAGAGAGGTGTTTATGGTCTGTTATGTGTGCTCTCTTGGGTAAATTAGGAAAAAGCAGACTTCCTATCCATCGCCGCAGGTCAGACGAAACGATTTTCCTATAATTAGAGCATGATGGTGATCAATGTCCTCCGGTTCACTGGTCAAACTCTGTGATGCTCAGAGAATCTGATAGCATATGGTGTCCTGTCACTAAAGCACTTATAAAACCTAAACTTATAGCTGAAAACATGCACTTACTCAGAGGTGGACGACACTCGTTCACTGCTCCGCCTGGGTTGTGCTTATATATAGATGTTAAATTGCAGTGATTTAAATAAACATCTGGACTGGGCTGCGTCACTATAGGATTTATTTTCAGATTGCATCGCTTTATTCATTTCATCAAACCTATCATTTCAATGCAGCATATAATTCAGATTCAGAACGACGTGCTGTTCCAAGAGTTTCTTAGATTAAACGTATGATACGCCACAGATGCGGAATTAAATATGTCTGAACGGTTTAACTTTGTAAACAGAAAAAGCTTTTGGAAAATACAAATGTGATCGTTCGCCAGCTTGAAGATCCAACAAAATCTGTCTAACAAACCTGGCATTGTATATTATGATTATTGCTGGCTCGTTTCTCTGTTCTTTTCGAAATAAAAGCATCTGCAAAACGCATGAATGAATGTAAATGCATGATTATGCAATAAAACCACAAGATGTTCTAATGTGCATATGAGTCATTTTTCATACCGCCTGAAACAATAGTGCATTTGCAAACTGGTTTGAAACCAGTTCAAACAGTTTGGTGCACACACACATTTATGCTAGAATTTCCAGGAGAAAAAGTACTCAAAGTGATGCTGAAGTCGCAGCGCTAAATTTACATGAATGCATTTGACAGACACTTTTATTTAAAGCACCTTTACATGCATTTAACATCAACATTTAATCAGCAAGTGTGCTTCACTGGAATTAAAAACCCTGGTGTTTTAGCATCATGTTTCTACCGGTTGAGCCACAACCTCCAGTTCTACAACTCCACCAGAACGAAACACGCTGGCTAAGATGTTAAAAGCCTGGTTGAGGTGTTTAACTATGTAGAATCAAAGCAACTCTAAACATTGAAAAGATACAAAGCCCTATGGCAACAGAGCTGACATAGAACGTTCTGGCAAGGTTCACTCAAAGTTATGAACACACATTCTTCTAGTAATGTTTGTTAAATGTTATCTGATCTTTAATAATGCTCACCAATTGTTTATGACACGTTTTTCTGAAGCATTTAAAAAACATCCAACTAAACTGTTACTACTAACTAGTTTCAGATGGTTTAGAAAACATTCAAAAGTAACATTCCCATAATGTTTGCAAAATTCTAAAATGGAACATTGGCTTAATGTTGTTTCTAACATTCACATAACCAAGAAAACAACTTTTTTTTTTTGTTTTACATTTAAAAAAAATGGGACAGTTTTGAACTTCAGAGAGCGTTCAGAAATAACATTTTCGTAACATAATGGAAAACATTCTGAGCACATATTTTTGTTAAATACTGTATATTGCTTTCAAAATTTACAATTGTTCAGTTCATGCATTTAAGTAAAAGGTAAACAGTAAATTCTGATTTCATGTTGTCATAAAAAAAAAAAACATCAATTGATTAGTTTCTTGTAGTTGACAGAAACCTTTATTTTGCGCCTTTGGCACTTTTATTGACAGATTTTTTTTTTATAGAGATTATGACAACAAAAGCCAGACATGGACTTTTGATTTTAAATTGTGAAGTGTTTATCCATTTACGCCTTGAAAGGTTTGGCTTTGGACTATCAGTATTATATTCTGTTCACGTTCACATTGCACCTATGACTACAGACACTTGATACAGTAATGCCAAATCTCATGAGACGTGATCTACTTTCATCAAAATGACCTAGATTACAGATATGCTTATATGACTGCAGACGTCACCGTCCTTCATTCAGCTGTTCAACTGCAACACAATGCACACCCTTCATCCAGAGAAACTCGCACAGAGAATGAATGAGTGAGCAAAACGGAAAGCAGAACAGAAATGATCAATAAACGGATGGACATTTGGCTCCTGGTGCTCAAAAATGGCATACGTTTCCTGTTTTTGATGGGGATTTTCAACTGTAAGTTCTTAATCAGTATTTTGTCTGGTTTTCCATGAAAAAAAATAAATAAATAAAAACATTAACAAAAATATTTACATCCTTAAAGTAAGATAAAGTTTTAAAATTACACAAATATAAAATTTATTAATATTTATTTCTTGTTTTAAACCTCAGCAAATTTAAGTTAAAAAATTAATTAAAAAAATTTATTCAAAATAAACTGCCAAAACCAAAATGAATTAATTCATGTAATTCATTAATTAAAATAAATAACATTTTCAAAATAAATTAAAAATACATTTAAAACATGGCTTAAAATTGTATGCATTTTTGCTTCTCTTCTAAAGGAAGTGTAGATATTTTTACTGGAAAACAAGACAAAAATGCTAATATGGAAAATAATTTTTTTCCATATCTGCCGAGGACATGTTGCTAAAGACTTGCACAATCAGAGAAGGAAAGAAAAAAAAATGTTACTTAGAATTGCACATCTAAATAACCTTTTATTTAACACTGCATGAGCTGGCAAAACATGCCATGCCAAGCTGCTATAAACTCTACAACAACAAAGTTTTATAGTTACATATTACAATCAGTCTTAGTTTAAACCGTGGCAGACGGCTATGATGGAACCAGCCAAAATTACCTACAATGTCACTGAGTTCATCCGATCAGCAGTGCCACACTGCATGTTCTTGGCTTAAGACGATTCCTTTTCCAGGCATGACAGAGGTAGCGCTTTAGCCGCGTGTTTACAAACACTTTAATTGTAGACATCATGAAAGTTAAAGATCAAATATAGCCTCCTTAACTACTGAGACTAAACCGGATGCTGGTGATGACAGCAATGATGCATTATCAATTGACCCTAATAAAAGTGACCCTTCCTTTGCAAATGACAACATCACAGACAGTCAAAGAAATAATGCCTTTAGTACCACACAAAGATTTATTTACTGCTGATTACTGATTTAAGCGATCTACATAAATCTCTAAGTTGTTCTGCAGCAGCTGACAGATGCACCATTTTCACCTGCATGCTGGATGATAAAACAGGTGAAAAAATCCTGAGGGGACCTGAATCAAAAAATACATTAAATCAAAAAATGCATTAAAAAATACGCAAAAATAACTAAAGTACATACAAAACAAAATAAAATAGAATAAAAAAGTAAATAAAATAAAATAAGAGTAGAAATAAAAAAAATAATAAATAAAATAAATAAATAAATAAAATAAAGTTAAATAAAATATAAAAAGAACAATAAATGAAATAAAAAATAAAACAATGAAAAATTACAAATAAAATAAAATAAGATACAGCATAAAAAACAAAAGAAACAAAACAGAATTCAAATAAAACTAAAATAAAATAAAATTAAGTCAAATAAAATAAAATAAAGAACAAAATAAATAAAATAAGAAATTTAACAATAAAAATTTCAAAATAAAATAAAATAAACTACCACCTGCACTAACAGCTCATAATAACCCACTAATGCAAATCAACACAGCAGACTCTCACGTCTTCTCAGGACAGTGCTGAAGTGCATCTGAGCTGACTGTCAAACCCTTGAGTTCACCAAACCCTCGATACAGAACAGACAACAGCTCCACCTGAAAATCTTTCTGGACCAGTGGACCTGACATTCACTGATGCAATGAGAAACGCTGATGCACAGGTGCTGGATTTGCAAACACACATTTGATTTGGCCTTCACACATTAAGGATTCATGTTAATTGTTACATAACAGTTTGAGTTTGCAATAAAACTAAGAACTTCTTCTCGACGCCCTTTGACAATACATGCACAAAGCTATTGTCGCAAGAAAGGTTAAAATTAACATGTCAGGTAGAGCAGCCGTGAATCACAGTCTCTATAGTAATAAATGGCCACATACTCTATTTATATCGGCTAAGCTCTCTGTCGTTCTGGTCTGTAAGCGGTCTACAGGAGCTTGTTTTACACCGGCTGACTGTGCAAGAGACACTGGCAGTAAGAGTCACTCCAATCCCGTTATCCAACATGGATGTCAAGCAATTAGAAGGCCTAAAGTCTGACAAACTAAATAAGCCCACGTATAAACATCTACAACAGATATTAGCAATGCAAACGCTCTCTGTGGTGACAGCCTTCAATATGCCACTCAATGTCAGTTTACCATATTCTGACTGTCAAAATATTGTGTTGAAGTTTCTTGAGGAGGTCTAGAAAGATAGTTTTACATATTCAAGTAAGAACGAACGAACAAACGAACGAAAGAGCAAAACAGAAAGCAGAACATAAACGGACAGACATTTGGCTCCAGGTAGATGAAAAATGGTAGATGTTTTCATTGTTTTTAGGAAGATTCTCAACTGCAAGTTCTTAATCAGTATTTTGTATGGGTTTCCAGCAAAAAAATAAAATAAAATAAACAAACAAAAAAACAACCAACCAAACAAAAAAATATTTACATCCTTAAAGCAAGATAATGTTACAAAATTATATAAAAATAAAATGCATGATTATTTTTCTTGTTTGCAACTTAAAAAAGTCACTTAAAGTCAGCTTAGAAAAGTGTTGTTATTTTCTGACTTACGACACCAAACTATCTGCTATTTGAGAAGTTCCAGAAAGGTAGTAAACTTATTCATTTATATTCAGGTTCACAACCTTAACACCCAAAACATATTGTTTCAGTTGCCTGAGAAGATCAAGAAAGCAACTTTAACATCTTATTTAAATTAGAACTAAAACTAGCTGAATGCAATGT